CTTAGAATGACACTATTCCTAGAACTGCGTGCGTTTGCCGAAGTGCTTCACACATGCTTACATACGAGTACGATCACTCACCCACACTGGCCTGTACTACCTACTGTATATTAAACATATATTACGGCGTTGGGTTCAGTGTTTGGGAACTCTCAGTAACTCATCTCGGGACGCACAACAAGACGGTGCCAAGGCCAAAACCACAACTCCAGCAAGCCTTGTTAAGTGAGACATTCGACAAACCGATACGCTGTGCACACAGATGGGTATGTTGGCAAAGTTATTCAACGTAACTTTATCAGACTTAATGTTTCGAGACAGAACCCAAAATGTCGTAATGACATATGATCCCGAAGTCCTTAAACTGGGTTTTTCTTACAAGTGCGTTTGTTTACAGACGTACATTATTGCTTGGGAAGAGAGAAAAACCCACATTCTTCTGCGGGGAAGTCAGTAATGATTGTCTTATGGAGACACTGCGTAGGAAAGCAGACAATTTCCACCGCAGTCTGAGGACCACCAACGCAGATGAGCACCATCATAATACACAATTGAGCACAGACAGACCCCAATTCGCGTTTGCTTACTAACGTAGCGGACACTCTCCTCACCAGCACACGGAGACAGAAAGAGGGTGCCAGTCCCTTTATTCCACCGTCTCCATCACGCACAGCTCCCTCCTTCATCCACAGCTCTCTCCTCTCTACCCAGAGCTCTCTCTTCATCCACAGCTCTCTCAACTCTACCCAGAGCTCCCTCCTTAATCCACAGCTCTCTCCCCTCTACCCAGAGCTCTCTCTTCATCCACAGCTCTCTCAACTCTACCCAGAGCTCCCTCCTTAATCCACAGTTCTCTCCCCTCTACCCAGAGCTCTCTCTTCATCCACAGCTCTCTCCCCTCTACCCAGAGCTCCCTCCTTCATCCACAGCTCTCTCCTCTCTACCCAGAGCTCTCTCTTCATCCACAGCTCTCTCAACTCTACCCAGAGCTCCCTCCTTAATCCACAGCTCTCTCCCCTCTACCCAGAGCTCTCTCTTCATCCACAGCTCTCTCAACTCTACCCAGAGCTCCCTCCTTCATCCACAGCTCTCTCTCTCCTCTACCCAGAGCTCCCTCCTTCATCCACAGCTCTCTCCCCTCTACCCAGAGCTCCCTCCTTCATCCACAGCTCTCTCCCCTCTACCCAGAGCTCCCTCCTTCATCCACAGCTCTCTCCTCTCTACCCAGAGCTCCCTCCTTCATCCACAGCTCTCTCCTCTCTACCCAGAGCTCCCTCCTTCATCCACAATTCTCTCCTCTCTACCCAGAGCTCCCTCCTTCATCCACAGCTCTCTCCACTCTACCCTGAGCTCCTTCCTTCATCCACAGCTCTCTCCTCTCTACCCAGAGCTCCCTCCTTCATCCACAGCTCTTTCCCCTCTACCCAGAGCTCCCTCCTTCATCCACAGCTCTCTCCTCTCTACCTAGAGCTCCCTCCTTCATCCACAGCTCTCTCCCCTCTACTCAGAGCTCCCTCCTTCATCCACAGCTCTCTCCCCTCTACCCAGAGCTCCCTCCTTCATCCACAGCTCTCTCCTCTCTACCTAGAGCTCCCTCCTTCATCCACAGCTCTCTCCTCTCTACCCAGAGCTCCCTCCTTCATCCACAGCTCTCTCCTCTCTACCCAGAGCTCCCTCCTTCATCCACAGCTCTCTCCTCTCTACCCAGAGCTCCCTCCTTCATCCACAGCTCTCCCCTCTACCCAGAGCTCCCTCCTTCATCCACAGCTCTCTCCTCTCTACCTAGAGCTCCCTCCTTCATCCACAGCTCTCTCCTCTCTACCCAGAGCTCCCTCCTTCATCCACAGCTCTCTCCTCTCTACCCAGAGCTCCTTCCTTCATCCACAGCTCTCTCCTCTCTACCCAGAGCTCTCTCTTCATCCACAGCTCTCCCCCATAACTCTGACGTCCCCTCTTATCCCCACGGTCCCCTCTCCAATTCCCTCCCCACGTTCCTATAACCTCACTCCCAGTCACCGAGACTCTATCTTCTTCACACCTCGGATCGTGTCTCACATCGCCCGCACCAATGCCCTTTCTTCATAGCGTGGAGGTACTCCCCGGTTAACGCGATGCAGAGATCGACATCAGCGCGCAGGCAGTAGGGGATGCCGATGTTGTGGGGACCGTTAACAGAGGACCGATTCACTGACAGACACAGTCACGGCCACACATTCTTGCCTCTTTCGTTTGCTGCCGCGTCTTTGAACTTTGCCTCCTTGCCCTCTTGGGAGTGTCGCAGGCCGTCCGTTGACAAAGACAATGACGTCTTGGCCTCTTATCTCGGTCCAGTTCATTGTGCGATTTCCTGCGATTCACGGACTACACGCTCACAGCAGAGAACCATCCTCCTCCTCCCTCCTCCTCCTCCACATGCACCTACCGGTGCCACGACCTTCCCGGCACCGCAGCGACGGCGTTCATGTAGGGATGATTTTCTCAGCAGCTGGCTTTGTTCATGCGTCAGTCAGGATGCGTGGGTGCCCTCGTTGGCCGCACAAAGGTGCTGGAACCCGTGGATAATAACTCATCCCACTTTAAAAAAAACACACAAAGTCCCCTGATCCTAAGCAGTGGCTAAGCTGGATGTTTAAAATAAAAGATAAAATAAACAGCACCACGGATACCCCCTTGGAAAATAAAATACCACGTTTCCCAAAGATCTGGAACATGTTTTAAAAAAAAAACATCTGCATTAATTTACAATTAAGACATATATTAAAAATTAACTACGTATCGGGCTGAACAGAGTGGAAGGCTGTTGTATTCTAAAGCACTTAAGCTGATATGAGATTGTGACATCGCCTGTTTTGGTTCGTACGGATGAGTTTGTACGGTTTGCTTTTATATATTGCAGCTGCCAAATGCTGAATTGCTTCAACTCGTTACAGTAAATAGCAAAATAATATCTCTCCTCTCGTGATAATCCATCACCATCCCGACACCGCGAACATGCAGTCGCTGCTTCTTCCAAAGAGATGCAACTTGCGGGCTCCCCAATGACGTGCTACGCTGATCTCTCGTTTTCAAAATTGAAATCGACCGCATGAGATCGGGAGGGGTCTCCAAAAAAACCCATCCATCACACCTCACCAACGTGCACGTTGCCGTGTTCTCGCCAATCAACAGGTGACCGTATTCTCTGCATCACAAAAATGTCCCCAAGGTCAAACAACCTTGGAGACATTCTGAAGAAGGAGAAGAAAGCAACTGGGGAGAATGTGGAATTGCTCTGCAGCGCCGCCGTCTCGGCCGTGATTGCCAGTGCGCTGCGGAGAAGCGGCTTCTCGTGTGCACGGTCATCGCCTGTGGGACAGCCTGCCAGGGGATTTGAGGGCTTCAGAACCATTAAGCACTTTTTACAATAAATCTAAAAACTTACTTTTTAAAACTTGCTCTTAATTAGGATGTTCTTAATGTGTTATTTTTATTATGTTAGAAATGTGTTACGTGATTATATTTTGCCTACAATTTAACTTTTATTGTTCATGCCTGTAAAGCACTATGTATTGCATTTTTTGCACGAATAGTGCTATGTGAAATAACGTTTGATTGATTGATTAAAACGGGGAGCGATGCCTTCGAGAGAGATTATTCCGATTGGCTGGTGTTGGGTCTTCTGTAATTCATTGCTATGGATTTTAAGAACTATTAATGTTTTAGCGCTTTCAAAATCTGATGGGATTGGGTACGCTCCAGGTGATTCAGTCATAGGCGTAACGACTTCATTTATCCTCAAAAATTTAAAAGAGCACACGTGGAAAAAGCAGCCCGTAATGGAGCGTGAGTTCTTTGAAAGCCTCGCTCAAGCACAAAGACCTCACACACTCCACCTGAAGTTGGTTCCTCTCGCCGCTGTCTTCCCTCCACCAGAAGCCGATAATGAATATAAATGAAAAACAAAATGCTATCAAGTCTACATGTATACACAAAAAAGTAATGTACGGGAGACTTAATCCACAAACGTAGAATGAAAAAAAGCAATATTTGTCTAACTTCTTTATGAGCGAGGGTTCGCGTCGTGAGCTACGTTGTCGAGAATTTGGGTGAAGACAACGCGAGTGAGCAAAGACGCGGGAGGCCAAATCACAGATCCCGCGACCTCTGCGCGCCTCTTCCCCAACGGGTGGTGTGGGGGCTGGGTGGGGGGAGAGAGATCGACGCGGCAGACGAACGCCATTTGTTCGAGCCCTTGATGAAGAGTCCACGAGACCAAGACGCGGCCTTCCACACGTTTTGTTCGCGCTGCCGTTTTAAGGTGGGTTAATCGTCCGCGCGAGACGGACGCACGAACGCACTAACGCGCGAGACGGCTCTTTAACGCATATCCATGCGTGCGCGCGCGTGCACTCATTCGCTTACACCGCCGATGTACCCAGACCTAGTCTCAATGGCCATTATTTTCGAAAAATGACCAAGTCGGTGTTTTTAATTTAGATAAAAAAAGAGATGGCCTCACACCAAATGAGGAACGCTGATTTAAGGGTCTCACTTTCTGCAAAAAGCTGAAATTGTGACCGTGAATAAGGCCGCATGAAAATACGGAGTTTTGCGGATTAAAAATGTAAAATACACGTGTTACTTGGACGCTATTACTTAACGTGTATATGTATGTGTGAACTTCTTTCGCACCGTACGTAGCCAACCGTGCTTATCGGAGTTGCGCGACTGGTGTTGTAAAATCTAGGATGAGATCATTTGTTGTTTCGGGAGCAGTTGGGGTTAATAAATTAGGTTTTAAATATCCATCCTGACAGCTGGTCTTCTCGCGTTTTGGTGATAATTATAGCGATAATTAAATGAAGAAAAAATAACTTTGAAGCAGAATCAAACGCCAACATTGTTTCTGAACACATTTTGAGTTCAAACAAAACACGCGCACACACATAGCAGGGCAAAAAGATCTATATATACATAAAAAATAAACCAACAAAGAGAAATTCTGCAATTAGAAGTTTTGACAAATAGTTTACTGTATGCAGGCACAAAACAGCAGCTTGACAAAGTTGCTGTTTATTAGCAACACAAATAACCCCTCCGTTAATAAACACGAGACAAAGGCGAACAATAAACACAGGACACTACTACTGAGACATCCAAAGCATATCGAACACAATAAATCCATCTCAAAACGATGCGTTAAGAGCCTTGGAATTGTTTTTTTCTTGAAGGGCAAGACTCAAATTTACGCAAAGGTGCATAAACTTGGTTCGGCTTGTATACCACAGTTAAACGCAAACCGCCGTTGAGGTTGTGGGTCGGGGTTAGAGGTGGCAGCGGATTAGAAGTCGGATGCTGTTATCGGACAGCCCAAACATCTCGTCCCCCCCATTCTCAGTTTGGAATCTCCCTCATCGATTGGAACGTCCTCGGCCGGCAGAGCATGCGGCATGCAGATTTGAGCCATTCCATGTGTGCGCGCTGGGGAGGGAGGCGATGGGGGATTTTTTCCCCCACGACAGTTGTTGGACAGCCAGTGTTAGGCCGACGTGAGCATGAGGGCAGGCGAGCATGCAGCGAGTGTTGGTGTGGGCTAGCCGGGGGGGAGATTTTACACGAGTCGAAGTGCTCGCTGAATGACGATCACATCTTAGCGCCAAACGTGGCACGCTTTTGCGAAGAGCGCCATATGAATGGCGGATAGAACTGTTATGATGTGATAGTCCGTAGGTGTTGTAACAAAAATCAGATGGGTAAGAATACCGAGATTTTTAAATGAAGCTCACAAATGCCCTCCAACAAAGGTACTGCTTTGGCAATAAATGCATAAAGCTTCACCGTGATACGTGTTTAAATAAGTCGCACGTATCTTTTTAATTATTTTCTTAAGAGCTTTATGAAGATGACAGAAGACAAGAAGTTGCAAAAACTTAAGATTTATACCAGAAACTAAAAAAATGCCGATTTCCATTTTTTTAACCAAAAATAAATGCTTTACATAGAAGATTTAAAATATATATAGACAATCTCATTCACAGACAGAAAATACAAAAGCGTATTTTCTCGAAGTCCTACTTTACACACATTCCTCGTTTCATAATTATTCCTATCTCTGGAAATTAAGCGACTACGTCGTACCTTTGCAAGCACAGAGTACCACTTAGTTCCCAAACAAGTATCTGCAAATACCTGCCAACCTTTGAGTGTCGCAGTTGTAAAGGTACTGCTATATAGGAATAATACATTCAGGCACCAGTCTCTGGGCAACTAAGTTGCCTTTAAAAGGCAGAACAGCAAGTAGGATTCGGCCTTATCTTTGTAGTGTCGAAGCGTTGTCTCCAAGTATGCATGGACTCTCTCTGAGCACTCCAGTTTTCCTCCCACACATCACACATCACAAATAAAAACATTCAAAAGTTAACTTGGCCAAACATCCAAGAATTCGGATGAAACTAACTCTTGAAGACTGGTGGAGGATTTCCACGGGTAAACATTTTAAATGTATGTTTTATTATTATCATTATTTTTATATACAGTGACTTTATAAGTACTTTATGTTTCGATTTATAGCTTTCGTGACTGCAGGGATTCATCTTCTTGGTTCTTTCGGTAAAGTCACGTACTTTATGTTTGCAATCACACTCAAGAGAGGGGGGGTAAAATTTTGAGGTGCGCAGCCACATTTTTTTAATTTGCGGAGTCCTCTATGCAAATTTGTTTCTGGTGGTTATTAATTGCAGCATGGTGCCGCAGATAATTGGAATCACGGTGAAAATGGCTGTGGATAAGTGCAGTTCTACTGCACTGTCATTATCTAGAATCTACAAAACTCCTGGCTACTGATCTCAGTATTGTACCAAGTCTACTGTGTGCGCACTACTGTGCATCGGAAGGCTCCTGTCATCAGCCTACTCGGCATTTAAGCCACCTTGCTGAAGGGAGAAAAAACGACACAAAAAAACACCATGACTTTGTCCAACACGTGTTATGGGTGCCTCTTAAGACATAAATGAGATTGTCGGGGGTGTCCGACCATCCGCGACAGACCCCCAGTGGCTGAGTCCCAGCATAGGTGCTGTCTTCATTCCAAAGCGCACAAGAGTGCCCCTTGAGAGGCAAAGTAAACAGCACAGTGGCCTACGTCGGCTTGTGCTGCTGTGGAGCATTTATCCTACAGACCACTGTTCATAACAGAGTTCACCCTCCAAACCACACCGAGCAGATTTGACATCTTGTACCCATGACCTTTTCCGGGGACTGTGTGTGCGTGGGCGCGCGCGCGCACGCGGTTTCAAGTGAAGCCATCTCGCTGCTACGTCCCCGTCACCCCCTTGTGAGTGTGATCACTCTGTCCGTTACACCGGGGGTGGTAGGAACCAGGTAATGCGCGGTGACCGCGTGCTCGACCTTCTCCAAAGAAACACCCAGCTGCCACGACTCTCACTCGGGGTCGTGAAGGGGCCTTAAGGAAATTGCACTCGTCTGAAACACTGAATTTAAAAAAACACGCACAGGCGCCCGCACACACACACACAGCAGAAGAGTCTCTCCCTGTGTATGGTCCATACCTTTCGGAAGGAGATCGCATTTACAACGTTTGGAAAAGCCCGCAGGATACCGACGGCACGGAAGGTACCACGGCAATATACATTAAAGAGTACTAAACAGTCCACGAGCTGAACTACTGTACTGTGGGATAATGTGCGTGTATATACTGTATAAGTGCTAATTTACGGTCGCGAATGAACAATGATGTAATATGATTGCTTTCAATTATTATACAAATGCATGCTAATGAGAGCAGATTAAACCTCGGCTCTGTACATTCATTGGCAGAGTGCACACACACACACGCACGCACAAAAATACCGCATCGGCCATATACACTTGCTTGATAAGAGCGAGGCACTGGGCAGGGAAAGGGGTCCCCGGTGTGGGGTATTAGCAGCAAGCGCAATGCGCTGGAGACGGCGCCACCACCGCCGCCACCGCCGCCACCGCCGCCACCGCCGCCACCGCCGGCCGGCGTTGACGTCGACCATCGCAGCGCCCAAAAGAGAAAACGACCGCGGCCGTTTTACACTTCCCACGTCAAAAAGGTCCAGGGGATGCGGGCGACGATTCCGATGACAGCAGTGCTACAAAAGAAATTCCCTCGTGTGGCAACGAAAATAATAAAAATAAAACAAAGTTGGAACACCTCTTGCTCCTATGACTGCCTCAAGAGAGGCTGCGGTGATGCATGGGGTTTCGGGTCGGTGGCATCCACTGAGCGTCTTGACCTGGGCGAGGGGGGTGAGAGGCATCATATTTTAGAATGTGAATATCTCCTTTATAGGTCGGATATTGGACTACAACTTCGAGCTTGTTAAAAAAAAGAATTCTAGCAGGTCAACTCAACTTGTACTCTGAAGCATTTAATCTTTGGCTGCTATGGCCCATAAAACATTAAAATGCTTCCCAGCAGCAAATGTTGAGGAAGGCCCCCCCCCCCCCCCACATTGGAGTCTTCGTTGCGGAGGAACTAACGCCTCGAAGCATTTGGCCAGCAAGAATGAATATTCTTTGCTCACTCTTCAATTCGTGCCAGAGACCACATTAAACATTTTGGTCTCCACTAAATGAAACAGAGGGGAGAGGAGAAGAATAAACACGTCGTCGTCATTTTGATAGATAGTCAATTTTTGTCACGCTGGGTTTTTTTTAACATTTCAAATGAAAACAGAACTTCTCGTTTTTACTTGGCAGCAGATGAACATTTGACGATGTTTTTGACAGCAACAAAACCCTCGAGTATTAAGTATTTGGTGCAGGCAATTGGGACATTCAACCCTTTGCAGAAAATGATTTCCAACTGAGGGGAAATTCACAGAGGGGGCTTAACCTTTTAAGCTGAAATATCCGACAAAGCCAAATTATTTTTTTTTGTAACCGTGTCTGAAATGCAAACATTTTTATAAATTATGAAGCCCAGCCAACCGACACCTATGCCAGCCGGAAAAAATTATCTGGGCTGCAACCCTCGGAAAATTCTGCCAAACACCACAAACATTGCACCCAATTCGGGTCTGTAATGTTTTGCATCAAAGTCTCATAGAGTCTTTAAGACTTCCAAGACTTCACAGTTGTATCATCATTGTTTACACTTACAAAGCGAAAAGAGGGAAACTCAAAACACTCGAGGAACGAAAGAGAACGAGCGAAGTGACCAAAGACACGAAAATCAAACATCCAAAACTGTTAAGCCATCAAATTGATAGGGTCACACACGTGTCCTTAGATGCTAACACCTCCAGGAAAGGCACCTCAACAACAACATATGGGTGCATTCAAAGCCCACATTGAAGGTCACGATCTTTTTAATATCTGCAATGGAGATACTCCAGATTACTGCATTTTGGTGCGATTGTTGTTTTCAACACCTAATTCACACATTATGTACTGACAAATAAAAACCGCAACACCATCATCATCGCGCAGTTTGTCAAGACAGGGGACCTGACTGTGATGGTGATATGGTAATAATAATTGTGGGCGCTGTGGAAGAAAACTGGCAGATGAACCGGCTGTACCGGTCAGCTGTGTAGTTTCTCGCGGTTGTGCTGTGCGGCTCTCCGATGTGTTTTCAGGTTGTGCCATGCGTTGTTGTGCATGTCTGACGCTTTGCTCCAGGCTTCCAGCTCCACACTCTGGGATCATCTCCGCTTCCTGAAGAAGCTTCGATTACGTGGAGCAAGACGCAGGACATCGTTCCGAACAACATGTGGCGTAACCTGATGGACACGCGCTACAACCTTGGAGAAGGTGCACAGGGCCAAAGTTTCACGGGAGAGGTTAATTCCGCGCTCTCAAAATCTTTTACCGAAATCCACTGCTTCGCCGCAGCGGCGCAGAGATGGCGTGATCAGTGGCCTGTGTACTGCTTCATAAGTAACCGTTGCGTTAAATACTAACGGAGCGGAATTACGTAATAAATCCCGGTTTACGTCCAACAGCTGTCCCATTCCATAAAGAAGCCATGTGTGATCAGCGACTGTGGAGAAGGCTGTAAAATTCATTTGAATTGAGGCCTTTGTTTTATTGCTAGCATTGAGCACCAACAAAATTGATGCCCCTGCTCCTGGCCTGGGTATGTCTCGGCGCAGGTGAACAATAAAAAGCAAAGGCACAACTGAGGCTGCACTTAAACCACGGAGAGGAATGGGCAATGGCGATGTCAGTTGGGCTCTATATTTGCAGTCGTTATTTCTTGTAACTTGCCGAATACATTAAGGGAATACATTATATATATAAAAAAAAACTATATTTGAAAAGAGGTGTTAAAACAAAAACACTTGACCACAATCATCAACTAGCGTCACCAGTCGCCTGATGATGATGCTAGTTGTAATTACTGGCGAAAGGTCCTACTCAAATTTAAAATGCAGTGGATTTATTCTCCAACACACCGGTGCGCTGTACTAGTAACGAATTGGCATGTTCTGTTTAGGTGACAAACCTTACTGTCTGTGTCTGGTGGTGGCGAGTCTAACGACACATTTATATTTACGCAATCTAACCCAAAAACCCCCTCTATTATGGATAATATTGGTTGCGAAAGCTTACGTGTTACACTGGCAATAAATTGCCGTGGAATACATCTAAACAAAAACTTGCCCCCGGAAACAATTGTACCACGAGCACCAATTCCTCTGGCGATTTCATACGTGCCCTGACTTGTGTGTGCAGCGGTGAGCCTTGATGTTTATCGCGAAAGGGACTCGACTGCATACTGTAATTATTCAGATAATTTATTTTATAAGTCACAAAAAGTGCTTTTAGTCGATGTTGCTATGCCTTTCCAGATCATGTATGATAACAGCCACTGGTATATTGGACCATGCTATAATAAGAAGAAAAAAGAAACACTCCTAAAATTCAAGGCAAAAAATTAACAAAAATATCCCATTAATTACATGATCTTAAAAAGTGTCCAAATTCAGATTAACGTAACATCACCTGTTAATTTTACGAGCAAAAATAATTGGCACAAAATGAAAAAAAACCGTGCAAGGAATGAGATGGATACTCAGAAGAGAAGAGCATGGAGCGGCACGAGTCACTTCGTCGAGTTTTCTACAGCGGACGCACGGCACACCGCGTTAACCTTCGCGTCCGGGTACCTTAGTGCTGCGTTCTGCCCTCCACTTAGTTAAGAGCGTCAGGTATTGATGAGTCTTTCGACCAGACACACAACCAATTACGCTATCCGACTCTCAGTTCAGTGGTAAACAAAACCAGCTTCACCGAGCGTAATAAACCACCGGCTCAAAAAGCGGAGGGAGCACGCCGATTTCCCACGACCGCGGCGAAGCATGCCGGCCTGGTGCTCGGACCAGGCTTGCCGGCTCAGCACGTTTTCCCCACGGTACCGGAATGACCCGACTCCCAGTGAGCTTGGAAGACAGGCCTGGGAGTTCACGACCGCATTTTTTTCGTATCATAACCAAGTCGCGACGTCACGGGGTCAACGCAAACTGAATATTCGCGCAGCTCTGCGATGTCACCTGTTCAATTCAGTTTCCAGTCGTATTTGTGCAAAAAATGCTTGGTGGAAAATTACAAAAGTAACATTTTTTTAATTTATATTTAGAATAGTCTAACGTAACCCATGCCTGTATTTAACAAAGTGCATTTTTCTAGATCGCTCCTCGACCTTTGCGATAGCCATGGAGCGGTAGCGAGGAACCGAGCCTACCGAGCCGAATAGCTCACAGAGAACTGGGATGGGAAGCCGTGCCGTGCAGCTCATCCTGCACCAGAACTGGAGCCATGCAGTGCCCAGACGAAGCAAGTTTCCCCACACTGAGCCCACACTTTACAACAGCACAACCCCAGCGATGAACGCCGACCCCGCAATGGGTCAATGGGCCGCAAATAAAACGTATTAAAGGCCTCCACGTGTGTTTGCGACTCCCCTTGGTCCCATGATGCCACAATCCTTCGCACTCCGGCACATGAGCTAACCTCATCGCTCTCGTCCCACGGTGGTCGGTCTTCCTCTCGGGCAAGACACGTGGCGAACATTCCACCACCAGTCTCCACCACCCACAATCATCCCTTCTAGTGACGTGTCCTGACAATCCTGATGACTCTTTTTGACAGTCTGTTGCTCAGCATGGTTCCCAACATGCATCTCTCCATGCATCCTTGCTCACTTTTCGGCTCCTGTCCCAGTTACTTTGTCCGTGTTTCTGATCACAGCAGGTGATATAAACAGATTGAATAGTTTCCTCATTATGATATAATTCAATAATCCATAATCACTCCAACCTGCTCTCATTCCTTCTTGTTATTTCATAATTTATAACGCCAATAATTTTACCTGGATATGGATATTCTGTTGCATTTCCCAGTGGTGTTCCTCCAACAATTATTTTATTTTGTTTCGGCAAATTTGTTGTCCGTGAATTTAGTTTTGTGAATTTTTGCCTGGAGCCCAACTTCTCTTATTTTAAGTTCTTCAATAATTTCCTCGAGTTCGTGAATTAAGTTCTTAACTTACAAAACAAAGATTAGCGAAGTTCGTCTAACAACGAATGGGAGTATGGAAGGGTGAAAAGATTTAATAACTAGTAAACCACAAAGAGTAGCCCTTAGAATGCAAGACAGCACTATAGTAGACAACAGATACAATCATGAAACTAGTGGAGGCATTCAATGCAAATCGTCAAAGGCCAATAGACATATTTCTACTAGTGATCACATCCAACTATCAATCAGCTTCTAAAAATGACAATAAATACCAAATACCACTATGCCTGGCTTTTGTTTTATATGAAAATGCATTTAAGAAATTGTAAACTGATAGTCACCCAAAGCCCGAAAGTCCAAAGCCTTACTAATATTTATTGAACTTAATGAACCCATTTGTAGAGATGGATCATCTATGGCGAGATTGCGTGAAGAAAACAAGAAAAGACAAAGCAGAAGAGGAGTTAAGAAAGGAGAATCTCACGGCAAGAGAATTCACGACGACATTAGGAGACATTTTCTGAGAATTAAATTGGAAAAGGTATGATCCATCTCAGATTTTGCTGACAACATAGCCATTATCACATGCACCGCAAGGTGATATACAAACATGAAAGTAAACTACGCAGGCTTGGGTTATGTAAGGCTTGTCCAAACTAATATCCATTATTGTAATTTAACAAAAAATACACGGCCCTGAAGTTTCAACTACGCAAGGGACTGCACCGAGGACGAATCCAGTTACAACGGTGACTCCGTGACATCGCGACCGGCTCCGAGAACAACCCGCGTGAAAACCCGCGGCCCTCTCACAAAGGCCGCTTAACGCCGGGCCGGCTCGGCGAGGCTACCGGGGGGAACCACAAGGCTGAGCCCCGTTCGGCCCACTTTGTGATCCAAGCTGCCTCGCTTCCCGGCGGTCACAGAATCACGGCAACGAGAGACGTGGCAAACGGACGAAAGCGTTGCGTCGACAGCAGTCGCAGAAGGCGGGACCGTTCTGGGAGGGGAAGGTGGAAACGGGGCTGACCCACAGCGAGCGGATTCTCTCTAGGATGGCGTTGTCCAGCAAAACATTGACAGCTCTTGGGGACACCTGGAGGAGGATTGGCTATGGCGGCCGTCGAGGGGTAACCGTAAGGGGTTGACGTCAGCGGGGCTGGATGCGAGATGTGGCTTCTGGAGGCGGCCGCAGTGGGCGAATGGCGCAGGCGTGGCTACAGGAAAGCAGCTGTGTAAGGTAAAAAAAAAGTAAGAGTTTCGTGTGGGATGGTTGAGGCAGAGCTGTCCGGTGTCAACCAGAGCTGGGCTAGTGCAATGGGCAATCACAAACCTGCCACCGTAAGCCAGTTCAGGAATCAGGCCACACGCACACTCCACCCACGTAAAATCTCATTTGTAATCGGGCGTAAAAATCTCAAAGTGTGTGGCGGTCCAATTCCAAGGTCGCCCTTAAGGGGCAAGCGTCTGGTTACGTGTCGGCCCAGTCGGAGCCACGCTCGTCGGGCACGACGACGACGACGCCACGGGGGCAGCCCACGTGCCGTCACACTCGCTTGCCGTGGAAGAGCAGCGGCTTGGCCATGCCGGCGAGCACGCGGGGCAGCTGGGCGTTGATCATCTCCGACATCATCTCGGGGAACTCCACGGATAGCGTCTGCGACTGCACGAAGGTGTGGAAGCAGAACTGCAGCATGCCGCCCACCAGCTGGGGACAAAGACGAAGATACCCTGTATAGCCTTGACGGACTGTTGGGGCAAGTGCTGTTAGCGAGCACTGGCTGGGAACCAACACGCGAGCGCGCATAAAGCAAACGCGCGCGCACATGAACACAATCCAGACATGCATAAACAAAAACGGTGCACACAAAGCAAACACACAAAGACAAACACGCGCATACACACCATACGTGCGTACACACATGCACAAATCAAACACGCGCATACACACCATACGTGCGTACACACACGCACAAATCAAACACGCGCATACACACCATACGTGCGTACACACACGCACAAATCAAACACGCGCATACACACCATACGTACGTACACACACGCACAAATCAAACACGCGCATACACACCATACTGCGTACACACACGTACAAATCAAACACGTGCAAAAGGCAAACATGAGCACACACACAAACCATACACGGACGTATCGACACACACCAAACAACAGATGGATACACACGTGCAAAACCCAAACATGCACATTTACACACATGTCAAATATGCACGCACACACAAACACGCTAAATACGCATGAAAAACACGCGTCAAATATGCACACACATAATGTCCACACACAGACCACACACGTATGTTAGGAATACACCTACAATTTGGAGTTTACATCGAATCTCAACAATGCAGCTGCATCTCAAGATGTTGTACAGAAAGTAGGACAGCCGCATCACGAGGGTCTGCGTTTCTATTCGAGGTACAGGCAGAAGGGAAGGTCTTGAGGCTTTACGTGAACAGGGGCAGGGAGTCGGTAGCACAGATGGCCAGGTGGAGGGAGTATTCTTTGGTTCTTTCAGTAAAGGCACGTATCAAGATAAAATAATAAATTAAATTAAATACTAGCATACGACGTTTCGATTGCAACACAAGCAATCATCATCAGGTATCAATTAAATAGAAACACAAATCTAGTAACATAACAGTCAACACCCTACCTGGTTGATTACGTTCTTCCTGAGAATGCTAAATTTGAGAGAGAGATAAAACACAGAGCCAGAGACATATAGACAGACATATAAGCAGACAGATATCACAGAGATACATAGAGAGAGAACAAACATAGGCACAAAGAGAAATCACGTCTCTGTGTGTCGAGGCCTTAAATAGCTCCAAATTAAGTTTCAGGTAGAGGGAGTTCCAGACTACATGGGCAGCAGCAGAGAAGGAGTGACCTCCCGCTGACTGGAGGATTTGACAGAAGGCCTCGGTCGTCGAGTGCGTGGGGAGGAGGAGTAGGAGGAGAAGAGTGAGTTGAGAGCAGAGGAGGGGGAGAGATGTGAAAGTCCATGGTGGATGTTGAAGATGGTGAGGTCAAGCTTGAATTTCAATCGGAATTATATGATGATCCAGTGGAGGAGTGTGAGGGTTTGGGGGCGTTGTGGTCTCGCTGACAGGAGCGGGTCACGAGGTTTCAATGGGATCCTGGATGTTCGTGATTGAATGCCAATCTGCACAAGTGTGGGGGGAAATTTCGCAATCGATATTGCTTATGAGAAACTCAGATTTTGCCAACCATATTAGTCGATCAAGTGATGTAATGGGTTCAAGAGCACAAAATGTTCAAAGTTGACATTAAGAGAACTTTTTATACAATAAAATCATGTTAGTATGACATTACAATCATATTTTTCCTCACGAAAACCTTAATGAGTCTCCAAGCCTCATATTCTGGAATGGCCATTCAGTGTTCTGCCAATTTCCTCATATTTGCAAGTAATTTTGCAAATATGAGGAAAGTGGTCATGCCCAGAGACAAACCATGTGTGCAGACTGCACTTCCTCAGGTGTGTGTGCACGTGTGACTGACTACATGAGGGACATGCACTGATGTTGTTGACCGTTGCATAATAAAGTATAAACTACTACGACATGTACATCATGCGGTAGCCTTACAAGAAACCTACATGATTAAGGTGGTCTACAAAATGTTCTATTATCTCCTCGTGTGCATATGTGTGTGTGGTGTGCAGCTTGCATCTGAGGTTGGCTTCCCACCCCCTCCTTCTGTATCTGAGGAGAAACGGCTCAAACAGCTGCCATGTCTGCGCAAGGTATCTAGCGAATATCTTCTCAGAAATCCCAGCTGACAGAGGAAGTGTTCTAGCCAGGTGAGCGAAAGTGGCGAGTGCCTTACTTGCCGCACCTCCGATTAGCACGGCTGGCTACGTGCGGTGCGATAGAAGTTCAACGTACGGACATTGCCAACGACATATCGCACCCACTTAGAATGAAAAGGCTTACCGCAGCCTCCGCTCAAGAGGTTCCCAGAGGCGTTCGTCGCTGCAAGAACGAGTGGCAGCCATGCGTTTCCGGGGACGTCACGAATTAATTCCGTCAAAAGAGTAACTTGCAGCAACCATTGCAATTAACAAACTGAAGGAGAAGAATATAAATCTGTTCTCCGACTCCAAAAGATCAGGTCTGCCAATTTGCTGAGCATTTCCTCGAGGAAGGGGGAAGCCCCTCAACCCAAACGGTGTAACGGGGCAAGGGGAGGTTGACCCTTCATGGACCGCAGATCGTCAAATGCTGGAGAAGGTAGCTGCACCCTGAGCGTGGCTCGTATGTACGTACGTTGAACTTCTGTCGCACCGTACGTAGCCAAACGTGCTAATCGGAGGTACGGGGGAAGGACAACAAACTAAACACGAAAAAGCAGTTCTCAAGAAATGAGTTTCAATCTCGATTATTTAAAAGTACGTAGCTCCAGTAGCTTCCTAATATCGGAAAGAAGAGCGTTCCTGGAGGGCCACAGAAGCGCATTTGATGTGCTGTTTGCAGAGTATGTGCGAAGAACGATCCGAGGTTAGATAAAGCGCGGGGCAAATATGACTTCCTGTTGAGGCAGGGTGGCGATTTTGTGCAGGCTGATCTGTATCATATTACAGCTGGCTGGTTGCTTCAAGCTTGTGAGGATGCCCTGGTGGTCCCCTCTGTAAGACAGGGGTACCTGACCAGGGCATCTCCCTCCTCAGTGTGCCAGGAAAGGTCAAATATAATTTGAGAACGCTTTGCTTCGGAATGGAAAGGTTACGGTGTTGGAGCCCCAGTGTCGTTTAAAGCAGAGCTGGTCCTGCATGTATGCCATATTCTCTGTCTGTCTGCTACGGCAGAGGTGTCAAGACTTCAGCAGAACCTACATCTCTACTTTATTGACGTAGTTAAGACCTAAGATACAATCAAGAGGCAATGTGCTCTGGTTGTGATTCATGCTTTGGGACTCCCTGAAGGTAAGCAGGGCCAGGTAAAGCTGCATGACCATGAATTAGACTCATTCTATGTTCACCTTAGTGCAACAGTGATGTCCTCTGTCTCCTACACTATTTAGCATTTTTTTTAAAGCCTTCCACGGCTGTATCAGTTGAATTTTGCATCTGATAGAAACAAAGTGTACAGTCAAGCGGGTTGTTCGGCCAGATGAAGGGGGCTCAACGGACATGAAGATATCAGGTGACAGCAAGGCTTAGAGATGAGTGGATTGGCTGATGACTGGCACCCGTGGTCTCAAGATCGGTCTCTGTGGAGGATGCTCGTGAAGGATGCTACTGGCGCACTTGGCAGCAGCCGCCCTCTATCAGCAAACTACGACAGGGGAGCGATGCTCACATCAATTATCAGAGCGCCAGAAAGCTCAAACACAGCGATTTGGCACAAAATTGGGGTTTGCAATTGGTGCATCTGCCAGTACTCGCAGTCAGCTAACCCACAATTCCTGGGTCTCTCCCGTGAATTCTTGTCGGGGAGCCTTTGACACTTCACGTGGCCTCAAAGTGCACCTAGTCTGGCATTGTGGTGATGTGACCACCACTCAATGGTGAATGACAACTACTGTTGTTACTGCTTGCGCAGGTGCAAGTGTGCGTGTGTGTGGATGTGTGGGGAGTGGTGGTGCAGCGGTTATAACGCAGCTGTGCTATGAACCCACCGACCTATGATGAAAATCTGAAGTGGTTCTTGGCCTCTTCTAGGTCGATTTAGCCTGAAATCAGTAACTGGTGCAGTGTGTAAACATCAGTATTGGGGAGACAAACGCGGCGGGATGTGGTGCTGGCCACACTCCTCACTCGTGCGCCATGCTGGACTTCATAGGTGTGCACACACAGCACTTGCCCTAACAGCCTGTTAACTGCTATACGGGGAATCTTTGTCTTTGTGTGTGTGTGTGCAACAAAATTGTGTATCAAAGCTCCCAACGTTGTGGTGACATTTTCTTCGCTTCTGGTTACCAAACTTCAAGGGTGGTTGCCCTGCTGGGGAAGGTAGCATCGCTTGCTAATGAATCCAAAGGTTAAAGAACTATTTGTTTGAAGGCGACCTTATAGACTGAGCTGGCATTGAACTTTCAGTATGACAAGTCGGGTAAAGATTTACCGCTTGCAGGCTCTTTTGCTTGATCAAAATCACTTTGAAGGGAGCCGGCGAGTGGGGAATATGAATAATGCTTTGACCCTTGCAACAAAAGTGGGCTCGGGTTTTTTAAGCTTTGGCCTGCAGACAATTAATTAGAAGAAACAAATTTATATGGCTGCAACTTTGATGAATCAAAAGAAAATTGGTAATAAAAAAAACTTCAAAGGTGATGGGTTTTTAAATGTTGTTTTTTAATATATTCCACTGCCTTAATCTTGTCCCTCGTGAGTAAAGTGCAAGGGGTAAATTATCATTAATGATGTATTACAGACAACAATTGATGTTTGCATATGTATGTGTATATTTATGTATGTGTATATTTATGTATGTGTATATTTATTTGGCCCATGATGCTTAATTGTATACAATCAATTCATAAGCCCGCAATCCATGCATTGAATTGTGTGTGTAAGAATCGAGGAACTACCATTCATGCAAATTATACCACTACACAGTAACACTGTACTTGGACTGATGGCAGTGAATGAGATATGACCGATCTTAAAAAACCAAAGAAGAGATATGACCGATGAGACAAAAGCAGACGAGACAGACAGACAAGGCAAATGGGACAGAAAAAACTGGAAAGAAAATAAGAGATTTTACATTAAACAATGAACCTGGAGCCATGGCGATTCATCTAACAACGAGGGCAAGTCGGGGGAGGCTGTGGCCATTCATTAAGATGCCTGAATTGACGCAGCAAGTTGTACACTGAACTTCTTTCGCACCGTACGTAGCCAACCGTGCTAATCGGAGGTGCGATGTGCGTTGAGTTCCCAACTTCGGCATACAAATCAAATGAGATCCAATTCAATGTGAAAAAAATATCTGGGCAAAAATAAACGAGCTTGGAAAAGGGTGGCTAAATTGAATTGAATTACTAACAAATGAATTGTGCATCAATCACCGATTAGACAAACTGAACTCTAATAAGATACCCATATCCAAGACGACCCATAATGGATAGTGATGCAATTGGTTGGCAAATTCACAATGATGAAATAACCATTTAAGGACCCCTAAATGAAATCTGCAAATTGTTTTCAGAAAGGATTGGAAAGGAAGAGCGCGACAACAATCACATTGAGTGGCGGCTGCTGATTCGTAGCCCTGCTGCGATTGCCACGGAACCGAGAGAAAGCGGATTGCACGAGCTCATTCTGCAAGCAGTTGCGCGGAGGTTTTAATGCGCGTTTTATAGACCATTGAAATGCTCATGAAAGTTTGGTGGACAAGAGCATCCAGCGGGCAGGATCAGATTAAGTGGTGAATCAGAGGCGCTGAAGGATGTTGTTGAATTCCATTAAAGCCATATGTCCTTGCTTGTGTTTTTGACATTCCACGTTCAAATGTTTTCCAAACAATGCCCAGGATCCGTGTTTTGTAGCCTTTTTTGGGCTGATGAATGTGGAACCATCACCCTTAGCAATTTGCAGACGCTTCCTAATGAGCAACGACGGTGCTGCACCTTGTTCACAACATATATATACACACATATATATACATATATATACACACACACAGACCCCATTATCACATGCCACTGATGTTAGGAATAGCCAGGTGTTAAACTCAGATCGCTGAGTTTGTAGTGCAGTGCACGAACCATGACCCCACTTACACAGAGACCAACACACACACAACAACAACCGCCATTCGCCACTAAGTGGCGGTGACGTCACCACGACGCTTGTGCCAGGCTATGTGCACGCTGAGGCCACGTGAAGTGTCGAACGCCCGCTTGCAGGAGGTCACGGGACAGACCCAGTTGCCACGGGTCGACTGACTGAGATGACTGGCTGATGCACCACCTGTGCCCCCTACTGTGCCAACTTTCTGTGCTTTAGCCACCCGGCGCTCCGCTTGTTGTTGTGAGCATCGCTCTTCGTTGTTATTGGCGGGCGACTGCCTTCAACTGTCCAGCGGCGTCCTTCACGAGCCTCCTCCACAGAGGCCAATCTTGACACCGCTGGTACCAGTCATCGGCAAGTCCACTCAGCTCCACATCCTCCTGTACCACATCACTCCATCTCTTCTCTAGTCCATGCCTTACCCGTTTAGCCCCCTCTGTCCGGCCGAACAAAAGCTGTTTAGGAATGCGATGGCTGGGCATGCGGATGACATGACCCAGCCAACGCAGCCTTGCCTGCCGGAAGAGCTGGCCGATGGGACTTTGTCCAGATCTTTCAAGGATTTGTGAGCTCCTCACACAATCCAGCCTGGTTAAACCCAGGATGGATCGTAGGCAGAACAGCCGAAATGTTTCTAACCAACGAAGATTTTCCATTAGGGGGGTCCACGTTTAGCAAGGGTAGAGAAGGGAGGGAATGACCGTGGCCGAGAAGACCTGAAACTTCGTGCGGAGCAACAGACCAGGTAGCTTCCACACAGCGTTACGCAACCGATGAAAAGATAATGCCGCTCGACTGATTCGGAGTGAGACCTCTGCTGTGAAACCGGAGCCGGTCATGAGCATACTGCCCAGGTATGGGAAACTCTCCACTCTCTCCACAACTGCCCCATCACCAATTGGGAGTTGTAGGGGTGGAGTGTCCAATCGTTCAAAATACCCAAGCAGGTGTTTAGTTTTGGTGGGGCTGATGGTAGGACCCCCACCTCTTAGTGGCAAGCTCCAGGTTCAGCAGACGTGGTTTTGTGGTAATTAATTGAAGGTGGAGGGGTTATCAGCCCCTCACACCCATCCAGAGCCTCTATTTGGCCAATATGGTGGTTACAAATGCCATTTAGGGAATGGCCAATCTAAATTGACCCTCCCCCCCATGTTACTACTCACCACAGCGTTGCCGTCCGGCACCAACGAGGAAGTAGGGGTTTTTTTGCCGGACAACACACACACAAGCACTCACATGCAAAAAGACAAAGATCCCCCATATAGCCTTAACAGACTGTTGGGGCAAGTGCTGTTAGCGAGCACCTATGAAGGCTGGCACGGCACACGAGGGGGTGGGTGGCCAGCACCACACCTTTGTCTCCCCAGTTCTGATATTTAAACATCCCGCTCCAGGTATTCATATTGAAGTTATGTCAACCGAGGGGAGGCACAGGATCGGTTCAAATGTTTGCTGTCACTTTTATTGGTCATAAGCTGGATTCAAACTCGGATCGCTAAGTTTGTCATGCAGTGCGCTAACCACTATACTACCACTCGCCAATACACACACACGCAAGCACACAGACGCACAAACACATAGACGCACAAACACACAGACGCACAAACACACAGACGCACGCAAGCACACAGACGCACAAACACACAGACGCACAAACACACACAGACGCACAAACACACACACACACGCAAACAAACAGATGCTCAAACACACAGACGCACAAACACACAGACGCACAAACACACAGACGCACGCAAGCACACAGACGCACAAACACACAGACGCACAAACACACACAGACGCACAAACACACACACACACGCAAACAAACAGATGCTCAAACACACAGACGCACAAACACACAGACGCACAAACACACAGACGCACAAACACACAGACGCACGCAAGCACACAGACGCACAAACACACAGATGCACAAACACACACATGCACGCAAACACACAGACGCACAAACACACAGACGCACAAACACACAAACGCACAAACACACAGAGGTGTGCGCACTCGCAGAGAGATGGACGAGTAGACAAAGACGAACACGACTCCAAAACCGACCCCTTACATCATGCATGGAGTCGAGCATCTTGGTGAGCTGGTAGAATCTCTTCCAGCCGTCGGCCGTGTTGTTCTTGCTGATGACCACCTTGTTGAGCTCCCGGATGTAGTTCATGCGCATCTCGTTGAAGAACGCCTGCGTCTTGAGGCCCTCCTGGGGGACTGCGTCACAGGGCGGGCGCCGCGTCACGTTGCGCCATCTGCGCCACCACCACCAACCACCACCACCAACCACTAACCACCACTAACCGCTAACCACCACTAACCACTAACCACCACCAACCACTAACCACCACTAACCACTAACCACCACTAACCACTAACCACCACCAACCGCTACCAACCACCACCAACCGCCACCAACCACCACCATCCACCACCAACCACCACCAACCGCCACCAACTGCCACCAGCCACCAACCACCAACCACCTACCACCAACACCAACCACCACCAACCACCAACAACCACCACCAACCACTAACCACCACCAACCCCCACCAACCGCCACTAGCCACCAACCACCTACCACCACCAACCGCCACCAACCACCTACCACCACCAACCACCACAACCACCAACCACCACAACCACCACCACCAACCACCACCAACACCACCACCAACAACTACCAACCACCACCATCAACTACCACCAACCACCAACAACCACTAACCACCACCACCAACCGCCACCAACCACCACCAACCGCCACCAACAACCGCCACCCACCACCAACCACCATCACCACCACCAACCACCAACCACCAACCACCACCAACCACCACAACCACCAACCACCACCAACCACTCTCACGGCTACACAGCATCAGCAACTCTGGGCACGTGACAAGCGGTGGCCACGGTATGCACCGGCGCGCGTTTCCGGCCAGAGTGACGGAGCGCTACGGCGTGCCAGGAAAACGACAACTAAATAAACGTCATTGTGGTGCTGGCATCGTGACGGACCATCGCCCGCCAAATGAGATTTGCAACTCCGGGATATCCGTGACGTGAGCGGAATGTTTCAGGTACTGTTTTAAATGCGCCACAATACCGTTACGTAGTGTATAACGTACATTCAACGCACGGGAATGCACTGTGGAGTACGCAGAATTCGCGAGGTTGCGAGTTCAAATCCTCATCGTGGGCCGACTCAGCCCATCATCCCTCAGGGGATGATGGCATGAGGAGTAGCTCTGTGCGTGGGAGTCAACTGTGGCTGTCCTATGGGTAGATTCCCCCACCTCCACCACCCACCACCCACCATCATAAACATGAGGAATTTCTACCACTGACTCCTGCAGGGCTGTCCACTGCAGGATGATGAGCACCGATGCCTCGATGCTCATTTGCCCACGACATGTCTTTGATTTTTGGATGTCTATTAACACGCAAAGGAATAACCCATCCGTCGCACATTTCATTAAAAAAGAAAAACGCTTCAAGCACTGCACCTACGATGTCCAACGTTCTCATCGTGGCTTCTCGTGATTCACCGGAAACGCCTAAAGCTGAGATGTGCAAACGATGGCACCCTGACAGGATGGAGGTAATGGCACGTGCTTATACGCCCTTTATTCATCCCAGGAGCCTGACGATTGTCCCAGACTCATCATCGATTGAGTGCCGCCAGCGGTCAGCCCCCAGGTCCGCTCACCTGTGTTGAGGAGCATGATCGCCTTCATGCAGAGGAACTCTTCCTGTGTCACCTGCAGGAGGCCAAACTGTTTGAACACCTGCTGCATACCCAAGCACAGCTCGTACATGGCCGACTGCTGCATGCGCTGCCTGCGAGTGCACACAAAGACAAGAGGCATAGCATTCGACATACTGAGGGCAAGTGCCGTTAGTGACCACCTATTAAGGCCGGCACGGCGCGCACGTGAGCACTGTGGCCAGTACTACATCCCGCCACCTTTGTCTCCCCAATGCTGATGTTTACACAGCACACCAGCTGCCATTTAAGGCTGAGTTAACTTCGGGGAAGCCCAGGACCCTGCCACTGATGTTAGCCTTGGCCGGGAATTTAATTCAGGTTGCACGTTTTGTAGAGCTGTATGCGAATTGCTACACCACCACTCCACACAGACACACACACACCCCTCCCTGTACATGGCAGCAGGTGCCTGGGGAAATAATGTTGTTGAAAAATGGCCATGGGTGCTGCGATATGCCAAAGGAAAAACACAGACGACAAAGCTCCCCTGTGCAGCCTTCGAGAGACGGATTGGCAAGTGCTGTCAGCATGCACCTATGAAGGCCGGAGACTGGCCATTGGGAAGATGTTGTGGCCGAGACTTTCACCCGGTTTCTTTTGTCTCCCCAAATTCTGATACCTACACATCAACGTGACGAATGCACCAACCTTTCATAAGCATTAGCCACGCGATGATATATCAATCAAGCCATTGTCATTTATCATTACGCTCAAGACACACACATCGAATCGTATGCGCGAGTTGGATAATTTACACATTATTCTAATCATATTGAAATTATATGCCAATGCTACGTTTAGGTTAAAGCAGAGAATGAGACTTTACACACGAGAGAGACAATGCGAACGAGACGGCAAAAACAAAAAAATATACACAATCATTTGTATCGAATCGTCACCCCAAATCATGACAATTCATTAAATCACTGTGTGGGTGAATCGTTACACGGTTAACATTGTTATTATTATTAAGCATGCAACTGCAACAAACACCGACAAACGGCAACAGTAGACGTGCGCCGTGTATCAAATCCAGCTGCGGCTCGCTCGAGAGTTTGGGGCGAGTGTACGTGCCTCAAACTCAGAGGCAAGGATGTTAAGGTCAAGCGTAGAGAGAGAGGGGGACAACCACGAGGGGAAGAGAAACGCTGTGCGGATGGCAGCGCGGCTGTTCTCTCCGCCATGGGCCTCAACTCCCCCGCATTTAATCACCGAAGAAATCAACAGATGTGCGCAGCTTCCCTCAAGGCTACAGCTAATGGATTAAAGTGGTCGACTGAATCAATCTAATTTTTTTATATTCCAGCAGAAAATCACCTTGTGTTGATTCCACTAAACAATTTTTTGTTCTTACACAGGAACGCCTCACTGAGTGCCAGGCGACTTTTTTGCAGGACTGTGCATTGGGATGTTTGGCAGATCCTTGGGGGTTCACGTGGGAGGAGGATAACACTCAAGAGCACAGCACAGATGGATTCAAGAATCCATTGCCGTACCACCATCTCCTGGCCACCTCGCAGCCCAAGCCTCCAACACCTGATATTGCCAGGCGGTCTCCCGTTCAACGACAAACCAGCATCATCCCGCTTAACCCCGGAGATCAGACAAGATCGGGCGTGTTCAGGGTGATTTGGTTGTAGGCAAAATAAGCAAAATGGTAATGCCAGGGCGTTTGTGGCTGTACTGTAAAACCCTCCCACGTGCGTTCACGTTGCACAGCCCGAGAACACGCCGGAGAGCCTCACGCGCGATCATATTCCAGCGTGTGGTCTGGCACACGCACACGTGGCACGGATGGACTCTCAGCCTCACCAGCATCCACAGCGTTGGGGAGAGCAGCGTGCGGTTTTCGTTCGAGAGCGACACTGCTCGTGGAGAGGGCAGGAATGCAAGGTTGCCTGGAGACCAAATGATAGCCTTGGTATTTGCAAGGTCGGGGTGACACGAGACTTCCCCTTAGGTGGAGCGAGGCGACACGAAGGTGTTTTGTGTCCTCGAATACGGCAAACACGCAGCGTCTACGCAGCACCATACGCTGCTTTGTTCCTAGCGGTGCAAAAGTGGAATTGAGAGAGTGCAGCTTTGCATAATAAAATACAAATCTGAATTTGCAAAGTGTCCAAATACAGGCGCATTTCAAGACGACGTGACACAAGGCAACCACACACACATGATGAGTACACGCAATTGGAATTAAGTAAAATACGAACAAAAACTAAACCGCAAAAGCATGAGTTGGGCAGATTGGAAATAGTTTCCATTTGGCAGCAGCAGGAGGTTTATGGGGCTAATGGGTAGCATGAACGTGTGCCCAGTCAGCACCTCTGAGACACGCAAACTCAATCTGGATGAGATGAGAAACCGTGAGGCTCGTACTGTGGAAGCTGCAAGGGCTTCTCAGACCAGCAGCAAGATTTGGTGGTCTCAGCAGCCACTTCACTTCACAAATTCAAGGATAAATTAGTGCTTGCGCTTGATGTGTCGCTAATCGCGACAAATACAACCAGCCAGGAAATTCCCTGTTGGATGGCAAAGTATTTAGGTGACAGGGCTAAGGCCTAATGATTGGGGAAAAAGTCCCACAATGCCCTATTGGCAGGTTTGCCCATTAATTCTGGGAAATCTCAGTGTAATTGTTGCCAGGCTAAGCTGATGAAGGTGGTTACAAAAACACGTAATATACAGTAAGTAACAGGCATATTTTAGCGATGAGATATCTCGAGAAAAGCAGCATCCTCCACTGCAGTAAGTGTGTGCTCGTCCTTACACAAACAACCACATGGCTATTGTGCAATAACAACTATAAACACGCAATCCAAACAACGCCCACGATATTAATCGTACCGCATGCGACAGCGGTTAAGGGAAATGGATACGGGGAAAACCACATGAATGACGGCATGAAACAATTATAAAACAAGCGAGAGCTTACTTAAAACGTTAATGTTTTTGCAAAACGTGTGTCTTGGGTTACTTATCTCTTGATCAAAAATTATATTTTTATTCTTGGAAATGCGTCACTCACCTAGAGGGCACTCTACGATCCACTGACACGCACTGGGGCTCTCTGAAATTCCCCTCGCCAGCAAATGCAGGTAATTGAATACACGGCTGTAGGGGCAACTCTTCCATTACTTTTACAGACCACCGTGAACGCCTGGCTGCGTTTTAGGGGCCTGTAATAGATCATGCCACTCGTTCTAGCAAGAGTCCCAGGCTGCGCCCTCTCAGGATGGATGTGTGCACACACACACAGCGGTGCCAACTGCTGTGGGTGCAGGAGTCCTCCCGGTTTCTCGACAGCACCTCACCTGGCAATGGGCAGCAGGGGTGACGAACGTTACAAAAGGAGGCTCGCGCAAAACGGTTATTTACGGAAGGGGTTGCTTGATGCGGCGAGGGGTCACGCGCGATACGCGTGGCGTTAAACTGCCGCGCGTACGGCGCCGTTCAACGCACGGTTTTAAGTGTCTCGGTGGTGAGCTTCGACGAAGAGAGAGAGAAAAAAATCGCCAGGATGCGCTGAATATCGTCAGATCTCGGATGCTAAGGGGCATCCCATGTGGTGGGCAGCAGAGGGCAGTGCAGCGAAAATCCATGGTTGCCTTGCTTCCACGTCTATGCTCTCTGATTTTAACACACACTGGACCAGCCTGGTGAAGTATGGTCAAATAATCCCCATGACCTGCAACGGCGGTGAGATGCCCTCTCCCGGCCCGTGCACAACGTCGATATTCATCTCCCCGTGTCGGAGTCTATTAAAACAATGTTTAGTTAAAGTACAAGAATAAACACGTAACCCAAGTGCTGTGTTATGCCTGTACGAAGGAAATTACAAAGGGGCTACGTGTCTCAGGAAGTAGAGCCCTAAAGCTCGTACCACTGTGACTCTGGGTTGACATTAGAGTTTCAACCACCCGCGATTAAACTGGGTTCTCGAGTATAGCGAGTCCACTCTCTCAGCCCAGTCGCCAATGACTGCACACACAAAAACCATAACATTATATTTGGTATAATTTGGCTAAATTCTAGCTTTGAGAATTAAAAATATCTTTTTTTGAACGTCATGCAACAAACGATCTCATAGCGGGGCGTGTGGGGAACATTTGCCACCGACTGTGTTATAGATATGGAAAAAAAACATGTCACTTGAAATGTTTTCAGGAGGATTAACGTGAAAAAAACCTCTTCCCGTAGCCACTCTCGGAACACTGCTCAGCAAAACTTCAGAATGGATTCTGCATCTCATGACAAGGTGCTGATGACAAAAATTTCGTGAGATATAATAATAATATAAAGTAAATGCCATTCGCTGTTCCTTCCCCCAGATGTGGAAGGAAGAAGAGCCCCCTCACTTTGGCGGGCCTCCCACGGTAAACCTTTTTTTTGTTTACCAAATCTCTACCGCAGCTCTTGTGGAAGCTCACGTGGTGCGCGCCACAGCCAGGGGCAGCATCGTAAATCTAAAGCAGCGACTACAATGCGTTTTCCGAAGATGCTTGTTCCTTTATTCATTTGACTATTTAATTACTAATTTATCTACTCGCTTTGTTATTAGCTTCCGAACGACTGCCACCCCCTCCAGGTTTTTTTTTGCCAAAGATTGTCCCGGTGGGATTCCGTGCCAGGATCCGCGTGGCCAGACCCCGGCGAGCGAGTGAGAGCGAGAGAGAGAGAGCGAGAGAGCGTGCTGTGAGCCAACGTCCAAAAGTCACCTCGACCCGGATACTCGCACCCCGTTTGAAAATGTTGCAATTTATAACGGCTCTCGCCCGACGCCAAGGAACCGTAACCCGGGGTCCGCGCCACGTGGCAGCCTCCCCGCCCCCCAGGGGGGCCGGGAGGCCTCGGTGGCATGCCGGGCACGGTGTAATGTCATTATTACAATATTTGCGGCATGGCGGCGACGCGCAATTAAGAAACAAAACGCATAATGCGCGCTCCCCCGATTGAGGGCAATCTTTTGCAAGAGCTCGCACGAGGAACACGGGATGAGCACGCGGCGCGCCCGTCGGCGCGTCCGGAATTAAGGGCACAGATCGCTCCCGTTTAAACCGCGTGGCAGCGCAAC